CTATAATACAGTAGGAAAATGCGTTCCAAGACAGGGTTTACAAGCCGCTTCTAAAAGCGTTCATCTGCCGAGATTTCACATGCCTGACCAAAATTGTGCATTATCACTCATAAAAACAACGTATTTCGTGGAACATAGTTCTTACCTTTGTATCAAATCTTCTTTGCGACCTCTTGTCGACGCTCCTCTTTCATAAAGTTTAATTTTAGAGAGTATGCGGTAAGTTTGTCATATGTCGCCATAGTGTATGAGTGTATCCCGGGTGTGCATCCGGGTACGCGGATAATCTTGCACCACTACAGATGTGCTGCCCTCCAGTGGCAACTGTTTCTAGCGGCTAACCCCATTCTTACTGTAACCCAGCCCCGACACTACAACCCTTACTATGACCCAGCCCTAACACTGCAGGCCTTGCTGTGACCCAGCCCTGACTCTACGACCCTGGTTGTAATATTAGTACACAATATTTTGTTGTGAATATACATTATAAACTGTGTTAATAATTATGATGATGATGACGATGACGATGATGATGATGATTGCTACTGCTGCTGCTGATGATGATCATGGTGATGATCATGATGATTATAATAACATTAGTAGTAGTGGAATAATTGTATAAACCGTGTGCACCGTCCCTTCCTCAGGTGGACATCCGCTTCTTCTACGAGACCTACTTCCTCACGCAGCAGATTCAGAATCTCGGCATGCTCATCGTCGACAACCAGGTGCTCCGGCGGGGCAGCGGGAGCCAGGACGCGGCCGCGCACTCCGCCGCCGGCTACCAGGGTTCGATGAACGTGAACGCCCCCACGAGCGTGGGTGGTGGCGGCGGCGGCGGCGGCAGCGGCAGCGGCGGCGGCGGCGGCGGGCGCGGCGTGGCCGCTCCACAGCTGCTGCAGCGGCTTCAGAGTCCCGTGAATGCACAGCAGGGTGCTGGCAGACAGAACATGTTAGGTATGTAACTTGCAGTAACTAGCTAGCTAGAGCCTTCGCTCTGTGATTGGTGTGTGACCAGTAGATAGCAGCTCTGTGCATAGCGTTCACTCTGTGATAGGTATATGAATATACTGGGTTGGTAGGAAAAAGTCAGCGATTTTTCTTCAGCCCCGTGAAAGATGGTTATTGCTAGCATGTAATGCTCAAGTGTGTTGTTGTTGTAGACAACATTGTGTGGTTGTTACAGGCAACATTGTGTGGTTATGACCAAGAATGTTGGATGATTTTTAGCTCACCTTGACATCGTCAAGTTGAGCTATTGCCAATAAGTCGTCGTCCGTCGTCCGTCCGTTCGTCCGTCCGTCCGTCTGTCAACATTTGGTTTCGGTCAACGATAACTCAGGAACCGTTTGACCCACATGTTTGAAATTGGGTGTAGTTGTTACTGCTATGCTCTCATATGGAACGTCCTATTTTGAAGCATGCCAGTCGACGTACTTTCGAGCCACGGCAATTTTTTGGCAAAAATGGGAATTGCCATTAGTCAGGGTTCGTAGCGGGTCTTCCAAAGTCTTATAAGTACTTATTTTGCCAAAAATAAAATAAGGGCCCTTATTAGTACTTATTTTTGGTGAAATCTTAGAAAAGGACTTAATAGTCCTTATTTTTTTAATTGTTTTATAAACTGTTCCCGACTTAGAGTAAGAATTGTTGTATATATAATACGGAATAATTAAATCTGCTGTGCGATTGTGTATATAAATATTATTAGTGTACTTTAATAGTCGGTGATCTATCAGAAATCACGTAAAAAAGTCTTTTTCTGGCTTCCAGAAAGGGTCTTATAAGTCCTTATTTCAACATGTGTCTTACTACTATGAACCCTGTTAGTCAGTTCAGGTTCAACGGATTTTGCTCATTTTTGGTATGTTAATGAATAAGGGCTAGGGGTTTTGATATTTAAAAGAAAATTATGCAAATTAGGTAGGGTTTGGCAATTATATAGCATATTATATAAACACAAACAGTCTGTGGTGTCACACTCGTCTGGTTCGTTTTACAAGATTTCATTGACAATATCTTTAATGCAAAATTGGTATTTCCTCTCCACTCTGCCGATAAAACGTCTATATTAGAGTAAAGATTTACAAAACATGTCGGAATGCAGCATAACCTATTTATTTCAAGCACGATTGCTACAAAGCGGGTATAGCGCCATCTACGGTCACAAATTGTGATTCATTTTGGTTTATAAATTATTATTGCAATATACAGATGGCAATCGTTTCTATAATGTACGTCGATGGTTGCTCAATTAAAACTGACTTCTTCTTACTCACTCATTTGTGTCCTTTTTTGTGGTGAGCTACAGTGTCATTGACACTTTCATTACAGGCAACCTTGCATATTTTTTGCAGGCAACATTGTGTGGTTAATACAGGCAACATTGCATATTTGTTGCAGGCAACATGCAGCAACAGCAGCCAGGCGGCCACGTGTCATCCAGTAGTGGCGCCAACAATCCCTTCAACAACCAATCACAGTATCTTACTTCACTCACTGATCTGATGAGACAGAGAAGCAGTCAGCAGCAGCAACAACAACACATGCAGCAGCAGCAACAACAACAGCAGCATCAGCATCAGCAACAACAGCAGCAGCAGCAACAACAGCATCAACAGCAGCAGCACATGCAGCAACAGATGCAGAAACAGCAGCAAATGCAGAAATCTGGGCAAGGTATGTCATGCATATATGGCACTTGGATGACAGTATTGGGAGTTCTCACCAGATAGAGCTACCCACTACCATATATATATATATATATTCACCTGGAGTATAAAGCCCGGCGCACATTGCCGAACATTTTGCTCAAAAACATTATCGTAGCAATGTTCCATGAAATGTTCGGCAATGTGCGGTGAAAAAAGTCGCCGAACATTTGTTCCGAACAATATTTCTGAAGATCGGAAATGTTTGATATCTCGAACATTGTTCGTCGAATGTTCGTCAATGTGCGCTGAATGTCGAACAATTCTTGGAATATTTGTAATGTAGTAACCAATAGCAGCACGATATGTGGTCACATGATTTTTGTGCCCAATCATGCGCCGATCACATGACTCTTTACAACACAGCTACTAGACGGCGCCACGAGGTTGTTTGCTGCAAAATGTTCGGCAATGTGCGCTTAGCAATTGTTCACCCGCACATTGCCAGACAAAAACTTTTGTTTGGACGAACATTTGTTGGGGAAAATGTTCGGCAATGTGCGGCAGGCTTTAGTGTGCTGATAGCTACAATTTTTCAGCCATATCAGCCTGCTGTTGTAGTGTTAACACAGATGTATATTAACAGCAATGATAATAATAATACTAGAGCACTCGGAGAGCGCAGACCGCCAAGGCAGCTCAATTCTGTCACTGGAAAATTTTATTAATTAATTGGATCCGGATCACCACCAAAATGTAATCAATTCTAAGTTACCCCATTTCAGACCTATCCTGAAAATTTTATTAATTAATTAATTGGATCCGGATCACCACAAAAATGTAATCATTTCTAAGTTATCCCATTTCTGACCTATCCTGAAAATTTTATGACAATCCGTCCATAACTTTTTCAGTTAGGCTGTACACAAACAAACCAACGCACAAACCCACAAACCAACAAACAAACGCCGGTGAAAACACAACCTCCTGCCAACCCCTTGGCGGAGGTAATAATAATAATAATAATAATAATAATAATAATAATAATAAATTTGCACATCCTGCGAAAAATTCTGGATTGAATCCCTATGTCCTAGGTTGGGACACAGCCAACCCAGAAGCCACCGGCTAATGCTGTGATCCACTTTGGATTATAATAATAATAACAACAACAATAGTAGTATTGTTTCTGTATCCTTTAGTTCTGATGGTTATCTTATTCCATACAGGCCAGCCACAGCTTGTGAGTGTGTTGGGATCTGTGAACCCTACCGTCATGCAGAATCTACAGAACAGTCTGAATCGGTCAGGTCCGTCAGGGCACAGTCCCAACCCAGCCCTCTCCAACCCTGTCCTGCAATCTCGACTTGGTAAGTTCACACAGAGGTTACTGGGAGTCCTATTACACTGTCTGAGCTTGGTAGAGCTGAGGATCAAGCTGAGCTGTGAGTGAGCCATTCTTGCGATACACTTACCAGCATGTGGTGACAAGCACTGCTGATGCCTCCAGCTATCTTTTGTGACAATGTCTGACTGGACAATGTACATGGGAGTATAAATTTATTGACATTTTGTGAATATATTCCGTAACCATTACTGTTTGGTTTGGATATATTGTCATCCCTGCTACATCGTTGTAAGTAATTGGGAATATTACAGACTGGCACAATCTTTTTCTATGGTTCAGTGTTTCATATATGGAATCGATGCTGTAACGCCAGATTGCACGTGCATTTCCGTGTTAAATTTTCTGTAGGCTACGAACAACAGAGACTGAGGCATCTGCCTACACTGCAGCAGCAACTGCAGCAGCAGCAGCCACATGGCTCCCCACCCTTCTCATCCCCACAGACAACATTGCATCATCTTCCAAGTGTATCCACAGGTATTCTAAATAAAATATATATGAGTGTGCGTGTGCGTGCGCTTGCGCGTGAGCATGCATAATATAACATAATATAACATGGGCTATGTAGATGTGTAAAGAATTTTCCTCGGCTGACACTCAGTTACCATGCCCTTTACACTGATATCAATGTAATTTTTAGCTGGACATGGAAGGCTGTCTCCACAAATGCAAGGTAGCCACACAAACTCCCTTGGTGCTTCCCAACAGGTACCGCCACCTGTCGCTTCCCCAACCATCCAGTCTACAACACGAGGTGAGTGCTCGTCTGCGAAAATTGTGAAGAGTCGGCCATCTTTGTTATGGCCGACTTGTATCATGATATCTAGCGCTAAATTATTGCTAATCATTTTATATGCTCTCATGCAGACACTGGTTCATTATTTCATAGCACCCATTTGCATCCATTCGCAAATTTGACGTAAAGATTTCCTATGCTCTGTTCTTGTGGCTAAATTTGTGATTTAATCACGTTATCAGGCCACCCTTGTATTAGTCCAAACTCCACGACAGATGGCGCTTTCGCTCTGGCTCAATTCTACCACTGCCACAAGCTGATTTCCGTAAGAATTTCTTACGCTTTTTTACTATAGGTTTTACAGCGACTCCGTTACTCCTGTCCTATGTAATACGGTGTTTACTTATAAAAGCTGCAAAGATAATAAAAGTCGGACCATTATTTCATGAGAAATTTGATAAAATAGTGATACGAAATAGTGCGCCCATTTACTACTTTCAAATCATTACGCTGTTTACTAAACGAAGTTCACGTATTTATCATGAATTTTCAGAATGCTTGCCAATATACCTAATTCTCGAACATTGTCTTTGATACATTTTTAGCGTATTCAGCTTAAAACATCTAAATTTGTTCACCAATAAACATGCAAATCATAGAAATTTCTAATGTTTTGTTCGACGGCGACTTCGCGGCCGTTGGCTTGCCATTTGCTGGATTTCCCCGGAGCTCCGCCCACTGTAAAAATAGTGCTACTATTGTGGCAGTGGTATATCCTGAGTGTGGGAAGGGGGCGCTGCATGCAGTTTGGTATTAGTCTAGATTGCAGGAATATCGAATTTTTGTGGTAGGTAGGCCAAAAGAATTTAAGCCTGATGTTGGTAGCAAGAAACTTACAACCTGTTGTTACCTGGCTGAGAGTGAAATTCGAGTAATTATATTAATTCGATTAATTAATTTAATTAATTAAATTCAAGTAATTATATTATGGTTTAACACAAGGAGGCACCTTCACCCATAGAGACCCGTCGGACATATACAGATTCTCTGTTCCTTGTTTTCGTTTCCGCGTGATGAGAACAGACCACTATTAAATCTTCCATAGGATCCTATACTTAAGAATTGAATTTCAGGACATGAAAAATAGTATTTCGACCGTTTTCGGCCGAGTGGCAATATTAAAGCTAGGTAGCCATGTACTTCAGCTGTGCACCATGAGAGTTATGTCATATGTTGTCCAGCGTTTTAAAAAAATATCGCGAATTTACTAACCGACACCACATTTGTGCCTGAAAAACAGCCGCGCAGTCGAATAGGGGCCATACATTGAAAGAATTTGTTTTATATTACCAGTAAACCATCCACCCATCTCCATGTGCATGTCATTGCCACACACGATAGCCAGCCTAAATAATGCAACCACAAAACATCGTGTCAGCTTTAGTGCACGAGCTGCGGGCCTTCCGATTGGTCAGCCAATGACGCGTCACATCCTCTAACCTAACAGTGTAATGAACTGGTAGTGAATTAATAGTGGTCATGTGTCTGATGTGCTCAGGTGACAATCCACCGTCAAGAGATGGCAGCACTGGTTGCGCGAGCTACTCTGGTGTCAAGACACAGCAGACGTTTAAGGACTGTATGCAGCAGGAGAAGCAGCAGCAGCTGAAGCAAGCAGAGAGGTGAGTGTGCCACCACCAGGGTGCGAAATTAGCACCGGCCCACCGGCATATGCCGGCAAATTATTTGGAGGGACGGTAACATTGTCAAAACACCGGCCCTCCAGATTTTTATTTATAGCACACATTTTTTATAGCAAATAGCCTACATTACTGTTTTACCTGAAGGATATCACGCCATAACTTATCAACATTTTATAAATTTGAAATCGAGAATGCAAGCGTGAAACATGACATTGATTTTACAAACAAATTTGTGAGGGCTGGTAAAAATTACTGTTACCAGCCCTCTGGGCCGGTGCAAAAAAATCTGAATTTCGTGCCCTGCACCACGCGTGTGTATCTACATCTATTATAGCGTAGTGATCGTTGTGCCCTGACCTCCTCACCCATGTGTCACATGAGGTCACCCTAGGAAATATTGTATCCTGCATTGTGGATCACGGCATAGACAATTATCCCTCACAGTATATGTTCAATAACGTTCTTTCAGCACCACGTTGGAGTATCAATCTAACGTGCGCATCAAGGCTGAGCCGGTGGATGGTGGTGGCGGCGCGTGCAGCAACACCCAGCCCAAACACAAGACCCCCGAGGTGTGCAGTGAACCGCTCGCAGACCTACAGTTGGTGAGTGATGTTGGTCACATCAGTCCTAACGTCTACGTGTCCTTATATGCTTACATATTATCAGGGGATAATGACGACAAATTTTGTCATTGTTAACCTCTGATATTATATACTTTAAGTACATGCTTCTATCTCTTTCCCCGAGTAAATCCACAACGTAAATTGTCTAAGTCACTTCTTCCATGTAATTTTCTCTAGTCTCTTCTTCCATGTCATTTTCTTCAAGAGACTTCTTCTATAGTGTTTAAGTAGCATTCTCCAAGAGATGCCCCCCTCCCCCTAGTCACACCCTTCAAGTGGCATTCTTCAAGTTGATTTTATCGATTGCTGTTTACAGATGAGCTTCACGGAGGAGTCCATCGCTGACATTCTCAGTGAGTTGAAGAACTCCGACAACGCTCTGCGACCTTCCACGACTAGCACCAACAACGTAAGTACCTAACTCACGCTTGCACATGCAGCGCGTGAGTCGTGTGTTTAGAAGCTTTTCTTTCTCCGGGTAAAACGATAAAATTCTCATTGGTTTCGTCATGCGATGTTTGTTACGTGGCTGCAAAAATACTGCATTGTAATTGGTGTAGTAAGTGTCACGAATTATAAATCAGTGTGGCCCGCTGAAAATCAATGCTTTCTGCTGAGCAGTGCTTTCCACGTAGTATGAACACTGTGTACTTCACCACAATGGCTTTCATGATGTGCAGCAAAAGAAGGTTTAAACAAGTGAACAACGGCCATAGGTCAAATCGAACATAGTGATAGCATTAACTGGGTCTCAGGCAACCTTGCTTTTCCTGATCCACAAATCTGTTGCCCTCACAATCAGACAGCAATTAAAATATGATCAAAATATGAATCGGCTAACAATTCATATAAAATATTAAACCGTAACGAAATCTTTTTTCGTTTTTTAAGAACTGCCGACCTGAAATGGATGAGAGCAGTATGACTCCTCCTCTGTCGTCAGAGTCTGACGTTCACCAGAAACCTGAGCCAACTGAGAAGCCAACAGGCGATGCTGGTGCCACATCCGAAGATGCTGTGGACAACGTGCTGCCATCTAGTGATCTGGCAACGTCATCTGATATTCAAGGAGGTGGTGATGCAGGTATGTAGGACACAATCTGACAATCATTATTATTTATTGCTTGTTTATTACAGTTTGTACTGTTCATCATTTTCTGATGAATGACATGAATCTCCACGATGACATGGTTGTGTGTGTGACCTGGACCATCTCTACAACATGTTTCGAAGCATTTCATTAGTCTTCATCGAGCTTTTTAAATCTGTAAAGTTAACAGGCCAGTGACTATGACACAGTCATGTTGTGCTTGCCCGATTCACTCGAAAACAGCACGCCTGCAGCCAGACCTGCATATCTAGGTCCACACCTGCATATTTGGGTCCACACCTGCATATCTGGGTTTGTTTACTTACAGCTGCCTCCCCAAAGTCGCCGCTCACTCTCAAGGTCGCCGTGTCCTCTGGCAAGGACATCAGGAGTAGTCAGGAGAGCAACGATCCGAATGAGGACTGGTGCAGCGTGTGCCACGATGGCGGGGACCTCGTCTGCTGCGACTACTGCCCGCGTGTCTACCACCAGACCTGTCACATTCCCGTTCTCACAGCAGCACCAAGGTAACACACACGTGTATAGCGCTGTTTTCTACTGTATCACTCAGAAATGTTATTCTTTTCGTCTGACACGACTATTGCTGCCGTCTTTCATCGATTTTGATCACTTGATATTAGGTTGTGCGAGTAATTTCAGACGATATCTATTATGTGCAGGTGACACCACTGTAACTTCAACGATCTTATTAATGTTGTTATGCGCTACTGACACGTGACACAGAGGTGGTGTAGGTGGCACTGTATCCCTTATCGACCCCCCCCCCACGCTGTGAAGTACTTGAGACAATGACAGACACCTGGTTTGCTATTGCAGTGGAGACTGGAAGTGTGGTTTGTGTAGAGAGGTGACGGACGAACCTCCGGCAACAGAGAAGACGTCGGGACTAAAGCGCAAGGGCACGTCTACCGGTCTGCCCGTCATACAGCTTAGAGTGAGTCACACACACACTACTGACCTTGCTTTAAGTTACACCCAGATTTTTACATTAAGAAATTTTAGCTGTTATGTCAAAGCTTTAGTGGTGCTAGTGGTTTCACGAATAGGCGTGTACATACACTAGCTCTGGGAGGTAAACAATGTAGACTACAATAGCTACAAACAGTCCAATGTTTTTTGTTAAAAAAAGAAGATTTGTTGGGGCTTTGTGCCCTGCCTAGAGCCTGAGATATGTTTGTTATGGATACATTTGAGATTTTTTTAAGGGGAATTGTTTCAAATAATAACGAGAATTGTCTCAAATTAATATCGCGACTGTGTTTCAGACGTGTGAGCGGATCATGTTGGAGCTATTCTGCCACGAATCGAGTCCGCCATTCCATGAACCTGTCGGGAAACACGTGAGTCATTCGCGGTAGTGAGGTCACGAGGCATCGCAGGTGCGATCGTGAATCCTCGTAGAGCGAGATAACGCAGTAGTGTGGTACAGATAGTAAGCAATGCAGGGTAACCGATTGGTAACTATAGAGGCAAATAGATGAGAAACTATGAAGGGAAACTGATGGGGAACTATAGATGGAAACTGACAGAAATCTATATTGGGAATCAGGTAGGAAACTATAGAGGTAAACTGATGGGGAACTGTAGATGGAAATCTACGGTGAACTGTAGAGGGCAACTGACAAAAATTTAGTAATTCTGTGCCACGTGGAGTTGTGTCGTTGGTATTGCAAGCATGCGTTGTTGATTTTGTTTGAGAGAGGGCACGTTTGGATGTGAAAGCAAACATTCTCATGGCATTTATGCCTTTCTGTCATTGCAGGTGCCAAACTATTACAAGATCATTACGAAACCAATGGATTTCTCTAGTATTAAGAAGCGACTGTCGCCGATCAACTTTAACCATTATGACAACGCACAAGAGTTCGTGGCCGACGTACGACAGGTGTTCTGCAACTGCTACAAGTACAATCCTGTAAGTCTTCTTCTCACACAATCGATCATTTTGGTCCCTGTGGTAGTAAAAAGATAAATGAAGTTACTTAGGCATGTCACCAGGTGGCAGCAGGTGCCAAGAGCCGTGATTGATGCTGATGCTGTTCGTACAGAGCTTGCTGTGCACACACACACACTCTCTCTCTCTCTGTCTCTCTCTCTCACCATTATAGGAGCTTGCTGTGCACTCTCTCTCTCTCTCTCTCTCTCTCTCTCTCTCTCTCTCTCT